ATGCCAAATCTTTTTATTTATTCACATTAGCCCTTATGGAAAATAAATATATTACCTACAACAGAGAATTTATGGCCATATTACCACGACAAAAACTTCATACATTTATCTGAGACTAAGCTAAAATGATGAACACTTGACATTGACGGTTTCAAACATAGAGAATAATTGGTTCATGACAAAATCCAGAGTTCTGATAATAAATATTTTGAATATTCAATTACAACTTAAATATTAGGTCCCTGTTTGGTATTGATTTAAATCTAATTTTAATCTAGGTCAAAATCAAACAATTAATATTAACCACATATTCATGGGTCCCATAACTTTTCAACCATACATTTCAAAACTTTTATCAAAATTTACTAAAAATCTAATTTTAATCCCCACTAAACAGAGGCTAGGTATTGGTATTATAGAGAACTTTAAACACCCAAATCGCCTTAACTGCCATCCCTTTTGAAAAAAAATTATTACTCGTTATATGGTATGATTACAGTAGAAGACCATGGAAAACCAATTGCCAATATAATTACCAATGAAATTTCTATAAGACAATGAACTGTTAGATACAAGGGAATAAGGAGGCGAGGTAGAATCATTTACAGCACATTTCAGAATATCTAATGACTTGAATCCTCGATTAAAAATTACCATACGGTGTCATTCATTTGTTTGTAATTTCATTTTAAAGAAATATTACCTCCACAATGCGTTTACGCAGAAATTTGGATGAAACTTCTTTGTATACCAGCTTCACATCTACCTCAGAAAAAAGCTAGATAGAAAATAATAGGACCAAAGTAAATAAACATGATACCACCCATAATGATGAAAATATAATTAAATTTTTGCACTTAAACCAATAAAATTAAATCATCTATTGGAAAATGATGAAGGACTTTAATGATGCTATTGAATTATGAACATGCGAGTATCCATGCTAAATTTTAATGCCCAATTACGTCTATAGACTCTACTCCTGACCTAAGAATCGGCAAACTTTGTAAAACTATAAACTTGAAACTGAGCAATACAGAAACTTTTTGGCATCAAATACTAAGAAAAAAACAAAATGAACAAAAAATAAATATTCAGGCAAAAAAACAGGCTATGATATGACTAGTGAATTACAATAACATTAATGAGAAATACAAATATTCATTTAAACACATACATAATCATATGCAGAGAAAAGCATTCTGGACGTTCTCTTATGTCAAGAAAATTACCAAGGGAATGGGTTTCCTTGGAACTGGTTTGATGTGAACATCACCTTCATCAACTTCTCCATCCACAACCACCTCCTCATCCTCCTCTTCATCCTCAACTAAATCGGTTACAGCTTCAGTAGGTGAAACAGCATCTATCTTGCTAACAAAACCCTTCTCTGTTAGGATATTTAACACTTTGGCTTCCAATGATGATAAGGCCTTTCTTCTTGGAATTTTGTTCTTGATTTGTAGAGCTTCAACTAATTCATCTCCTGCAATCTCCTGGATATTATATTTCATGTTATATCTTAAGAATAGAAGATATAAGCATAACAGATGAAGGACGAACATTCAATCCTTTAAAACATTTATGAAAGCTTTCACGAACAACAAAAATTGTAAAGGGTTGAGGATTATTTGTGACATAAAATATGAAACTAATTAATATAAACGAAATAGCAGGTCAACATATTAAAAATTTACTGATTGATTAATCTGAATTGTTTCCAACATTTTTTCAAAAATTTCTCCAAAGGATAATTCTTGTTGTACATTAGCTTGTACATAAGGGTGTCCATAACCGAGGCGCCTGTGGGCCTGTGCGTGGCTGAGGCGCCTCGACCAATGTCGAGGCACCGGGTGTCCATATGTACAAGCTAATGTACATGTAGCATCTTCCTTCTCCAAAATGTGGACTCTGAAATGAGCTGAAAACCAATTAATAACCCATTATAATAAAATGTCATATAGCACCCACGAGAAGAACGATTTCAAGGATGCTTAATGAATATTACAACATAATTTTGTTCATGCATTAAGCCATATGATACAGACAACACTCCATCAAAAAGCAGTGTGTTTTAACTTTTCTACAGCAGCAACTTATGTCAGAAAAAAATAGGTTTAGATCAGCTGACTTAGCAAACAGCACAAAAACTTTTTTTGAGTAACCACTTCTAGCATGTTTAGAGTGAGTCAATTGTTTCTTTTTAATGGAGCATTTATAAAAGGCATGTAGTCTACGTAACCCCTTATGTGATAGCGGCACTAACTAAAGTTTTATCATTAGTATGTGGCATCGGACCCTACATTTCTCCTCTTTCTCTTACCTCAATTAAATCTGAAGATACATGCACGAAATCTAGAGCTACTCTATCATGATAAGGTGCATGCTTTTGTATTTTCCCTTTGTTTTTCCCCTTTGCAAAGTTGTCAACCTCATGCACAATTCAGATTTTGACCTAAAACCAACCCCCATTACTAGACTTCATTCCCTCACACTAAAATCTGTAAATTTTATTCCTTTATTCTATACTGTTCTGCCTTTTCACTACAATTCCTTTTAGATCACTAGTATCCATTCTGTATTCTCTCTTATTTTTGGACATAAAGCACTACCATTCATTACTTCTGCCAGCGCCGCCATGGATCTCCGCAGATGTAGCGTTAACTATTGTTAGATATCAAAAAATTCAGTCTAATAGAAGTTAGGTGCAGGTATTATAGGAAATTTCTGCCAGCAATTTATATTACTGAAGGATTAAGAATTTCAACTACATTTACTTACCCCATCACTGAAAATAAATCTTGTTATAACAATTTCAAATTTGTTACTCAAAAAACCATTTCCAAATGAATATGCTTTTTGAAAGTTTGTAATTTTAACGTCCTTTTGTTTTTTATATCCTGCTTCAGCAATTTGTATCTGTACCAAGTTGGGCAAATTGACATTTAACTTCAGAGAAACAGAAAAATATTTTTAAAAAAAAAAATATGTGAAATTCAAAAATTAGACAGGTTTGTTCAGCACTGATTGGTTTTAAATTATGAAATTGATTCATTTGTAAGAGAGCAACACAGAACCTCTCATGAATTGGTTAACTTCCAAGGGTCCCTAAGAGAGCATCTCACAATCATTTTAGAATCCCAACCATTTGGTCTAGTCTACATTAATCTAACAACCTTCTCCAAAGCCATTTTTGTAAGGATGTCAAGTCCTCTACCCTTGCTTCCAGCGACTACAAACCAAGATATCAAATGACATTTTGACCTTCTCTCCCACCTTCCCACAACACAAAACAAAGAGAGTTTGTAAGGCAATTTGTATTTGTGCATTTTTATGAAATATAGAGCATATTTCCACCACAAGCAACAGACTATGTATTTTCATGCAAGCCACAGATACGATCAGATGATAAATCAAACTTAAAAACTAGTGAAAGCAGCGTTAGGGCCATGATTGGAAGGACGCAAATTTGTAAAAATAAAACTAATGGAAGACAAAAATTGGTAGCAGTATCAAAAAGTATATATTCACAAATTAAGATAAGTTCACCGAAGAGATCATTGCTTACTTCAACGTGCTTATACAGATCAGGAGGAGGTAACTTAATTGCATCAAGCATTTTTGGCTTCCCGCATTTCTTTACTAAAGCGTCCATCTCTTTGCAAATAGCACATACAGCATCCTGACATTTGTGGAAAGGAAAACTCTATAGCAGATATCACAATCATTAACAATATGAATAAAATTTTGAATTAAGGTTACGAGTTATGACTCAATTATAAAGCTTTGAACTAAGTCAGTATTAGCAATTTGTATTCAGCTTCTTAGCCATGTGCAATCCACTAGTGTAATCTATACTTCTTCATCTTGAACAACAGTGGCATTGAAAGGTCAATTTACTCCAGAAATTGGCATAAGCCAGGATAGTGAGGGACAAAGACATCTAGTTGATAGGTGAATTTATCCCATAAATTGGCCTATGCCAGGATTGTGAGCAATGCAAGGTGTTTACCTCTCAACTTATTATTTTTCTAGAGGTGGTGAAGCAACCACGTGTGTACAGATAACATTTATTGCACTGTCATTACATTATTTTCGTTGTGAATAGATTATTGAGCTTCTTGCAAAAAGAAACAGTTGTAGGGTAATCAGATTTATGATTAAAATTTGACTTATATTTTTCCACATACCCCAAACTATAAACTTGCCCGTCCCAAGATCTGTCTACTCTGAATTTCATCGCAAGAGGCCACCAGATGGGCTGCCAATAGCTGGTTTAAATCCAGCTTTTCTAATATGACTTTTTTGCAAAAGTAGCAATTTTGACCCAATTTTTCAAGGCTACGGCAGACTCCTAGTAAAATATCCAAACCGCTATTCCTAAATATATAAATGAAAAAAACAAATTTCTGAAGATTTTTACGTCCTGTAATACAAGAATATTATGCCTCTTTGCAAGAGGATTGAGGATTTTTTTGGAGTTTGTAAATAGCTTGGATTAATTTTAAAGTGTGTGATTTTTTCATATCAATAAATTTCAGAGAATTAACTGTTATGATTGTAAGGCTATTTGCTAGTTATGCCGGGAATTTGTGCATGTCATTTATCAAATAAACAACCTGTCCAACTTCCACTGCTTGAAGTAACTTCTCTTCAGGAAGGAAATCGCAGTATCCCTGTAATAATCCAGTTCAAATGAAAAAGATACTAGAGTCAGTACGAATAAATGAACAAGCACACTAGTTGCTAGAAATCTACAGAATGATCACATAACAATAGGACTCTATCATAGCAATCACCTCTCTCAACTTAGTAACACAAACATTAAAAATATGACATTATCAATCAAGTTTTTACACTATTTGTGTCGTATAACAGTACATCATGGTACATTCTAAGAGTTAATTAAATCATAGAAGTCTAGAATAAAGGATAAAAACTTCCAAAAGATTTTCTCATATTCAACGGAATAATATAATGCAAAAACAAATGACTCTACCAATTGTAGATACTTCAAATTTTGGAAATGTGTCAGGGTTTGCATTCTACTGAAACTGAAAAATTCTATGTGCCCGGAACTCTTCATTTTGGATGAAGTATGTGTGTCGAAATGACATGACAAGGATAAGGGTATGGGTATGGGTATGGGAACCGAGGCGGATCCTTTATATTGTTTTTGTTATTGGTATTAGATTTAAAATGATTTCTATTTGGTGCATTTAAAATATTAGTATATAAATTCCAAAATAATTTAAAGTTCATAATAAGTTTCCCAGGCGGATCCTTTATATTGTTTTTGTTATTGGTATTAGATTTAAAATGATTTCTATTTGGTGCATTTAATATATCAGTATAAAAATTCCAAAATAATTTAAAGTTCATAGAACCTGTTTGGGAGTGATTTTGAGAATTGATATTTTGACTATTAGGAGAAAAGTGAGGTCCACCTGTGAGAGAAGAAGTCAAATATAACGACTGCAATAGTGAAATAACGATCAAAAAATTAATTTTTTTGGTCAAAAAATCACTCCCAAACAGGCTGATAATATGTTTCCACATACATGTCTAAATTCTAGATCCTTTTTTGTTGTATCCCCATATCCTAGATTTTTTTTTTTTTATAAGTAATCAAATATTTTATTAATCAAAAGGTAATACACAAGAGGTGTATTATACACTTAAACAAGAAATAAACATCATGAAATTAGGCAGCTCATCTATGTGACTAGAAGCTGCAGCATTAAACCAATTATACAATGTCAAATAAAATAATTCTCTAAACTGCTCTAAAATCTTTATCTGATCATCAAAACAGCGTCAGTTTCTTTCTTTCCACACGCACCAAACAATGCAGCCTAAAATAAGGTCCCAAACAAGTTTACTGTAATTGTCATGAAACTTTCTCCTCCATGCCTTCAACATATCTTCCATACGCCTTGGCATCACCCAATCCACATGTTGAGAAGCCAAAATATCATTCCACAGCAAACAAGCGCCATCACAATGGAGAAACAAATGGTCAATCGTTTCCCCATCCTTTCTGCACATATGACACCAATCTTAAATATAGAACCCCCCAATCGAAGATTATCCGCCATTAACACTTGTGTCCTCACTACCGTCCATAGTAAAAATGCCACCCTTGGAGGCAATTTACACTTCCAAACCATCTTCTAAGGGAATGAATTCTCCATAGATCCTAATAAAGATCTAGAATAAGTGCTAACTGAGAAAATGTCATCCCTTGCTGGCGTCTACCTAATGTGGTCACTCTCTTTAACCCTGATATGCACTTCATACAAAGAGGTCAATAGCAGCACATAATCATCCACTTCTCAATCTTGTAATCCCCTTCCAAAAAAATGTTCCAGCTGATGCTCCCATTATGTGTATCTAATACATCATTCACCATAGCAGATGGCATCACGGCAATACGATACAAAGAAGGAAATCTCTCCCTTAGCGGTTGATATGTACACCAACAATCATCCCAAAAGCTGATAGTATTGCCATTCCCCACACCAAATGTTACTCTATTCCGAAAGTCACTCCACCCTCGCCGAATATACCACCACAAACTCACCCCGTAGGTACTACGACCCTCCACTGAACACCATCCACCCTCCATAATACCATATTTCTCTTCAATAATTTCTCTCTAGAAACTCTCCCTCTCCACCCCAAATCGCCATAACCACTTACCCAACAAGCCCTTATTAAACAATACAAGGCTCCTCAATCCGAGTCCCCCAACCCTAGTGGGAGAACAAACTGCATCCCAATTGACCAAATGAAATTTCTTCTCCTCTCCTAACCCTCCCCAAAGGAACTCCCTTTGGATCCTCTCTAGTCTCTTAGCCACTGTAACAGAAATGGGAAACAAAGACAAGAAATAAGTGGGAAGATTCGAGAGAGTAGACTTGATAAGAGTAAGGCGACCTCCCTTTGAGAGGTACATAAGATTTTCAAGAATCTGCCACACTGGAAAAAGTAAGCAAAAACATCCACAATGTCCGATCATATCACATCCCAACAAGTCTTATAGAATGCGAAGGTAATCCGTCCGGTCATGGGACCTTATCATCATTCATACTGAACACCACCTCCCTAATCTCGTCCTCCCCAAATGGTCTTTCTAACCAACTGACATCCTCCTCAGAAATAGTGGAAAACTCTAGCTCCTCAAGCTCTGGCCTCCAACCAAACTGCTCCTTATAAAGATTTTAATAGAAACTCACCATTTGGGTACCAATCTCCTGTGGGTCCTCATAAGTTACCCCATCCACCTCCAGTATAGAGATATGATTGTTGCGCCAGTTGGAATTGGCCACGCTATGGACAAACTGTGTACATTTATCACCTTCTCTCAACCACTTAACGCTAGATCTATGGCGCCAAGCAATCTCCTCCATTTCCACCAACCTCTCCAACTCTCCCCTTAATTCTTGATGTCTCCCTCTCATCCCCTCCCAATCCTCAACTTTCCTCCTTCCTATCCAACTTTTCTATTTTTGAGATGCATTGATTGTTACGCCAATTAACATCCCCCACCACCTCCTCATTCCACCTCTTGAGATCCTCTTTTAAAGCCTTTAATTTCTGATTCAACACATAACTGGGGGACCCCCTGAACTTGTAAGAGGCCCACCAAGTACGTACTCATTCCCCAAAACCGTCCACTTTAAGCCACATCTTTTCAAACCTAAAAGGCCTTCTCCCGCTATACCCTACATCCCCAGATAATGAAATAGGGAAATGATCTGAATACGCCCTCCCCAGTCTCCTCTGAGCAAAGTCCGGGTACTTAACTTCCCACTCCACACTAATCAAGAACCAATTGATTCTAGAATGAACAGGTTGCTCCCGATTAGATGACCAAATAAAATCTCCCCCCATCAAAGGCATATCTACCAACATATTCTCCCTAATAAAATCTAAAAAGTCTCCCATAGCCCCTGTTAGTCTCCCGCCGCTTGACCTTTCAGTAGGAAAGCGGACCACATTAAAATCGCCCCTAATGCACGTTAGGAAGTTCCACCAAGCCATCATACCTGCCAATTCATCCCACAATCGACCTATGCTTTCATCAACATTTGACCCATAAACTCCTATAAACATCCAACAAAATCTATCCCCAATATTTGTAAATGAAAGGGATAGAGAAAATAGCCCCTCACTAACCTCTTTCAAATGTAAAACTCTAGTATCCCACATAATTAGCACCCCTCCTGAGGCCCCCAATGATCCCACAAACTGATACCCGACATGCTATCCTCCCCCCATAAGCTACTTACAATAGCCCTCGAAACGATCTCCAACTTTGTCTCCTGTAAGCAAACAATGTCAGCCTTCTAACCCCTTAAGAGATTCCGAACACCCAACCTCTTTCCAACTTCATTAAGCCCCCTCACAATCCAGCTAACTTTTTTTGGGATCATCTTAACGCAACATCATCCCTCCCCATCAATCCTCTTCTTGACTCACCACCCCTCACGTCATAATTAACCGAGCATTCAAACCGTTTAAGCTCAAGGTCACCCTTTCTTCTTGCCTTACCACCTGGTGTATCCATCACTTGTCCCCTACTAGCCTCCAACTCAAATAATTGCATGAGCTTATGTTCATACCCGTCGCAGAACACCCCCACCATCTTGCTAAATTCCAAAATTTTTTGAAGAGCCCAGCTCGATGGTGGCGGTCTAATGTCAAGCTCACTCATTTCCACTATATCTTCAGAGGAAAACTGATCATATTGTAAGTCCTCTTCCTCCACCCGAACTACGTCCATATTTATATCCTCCTTTTTGGCGCCCTCCACCCACACAACCAGAGCTTTATCAGTCCCTGAGTCCCCCTCATTTATAGACTTAGAATATCTCCTACAGTATGTATTCATTACCATCATTGCCAAACCTGTTGCCCCTTGTTATTTCTCGAAAGCCGAAGCTAAACTTTTTGTTGTTACATTGTCGATCTCTTACTCCATAGTCGACATTAATGCTTCTGCTGGCCTTGTGTCTTTGGTCACATCCGATCTCTCCGACTCCAAATTCATCAAACTCAGCTCCCCTTCCTTGTCCTAGAGTTCCACCTCCGCCCCTCTACTTGGTACTTGAGATTCGCCACTTGGCTCAGCCATCACCTCTTTAGTGTAGTCCCTCTTCGATTTCAACTCCTTAGACACCTCATTTGCTACTACATTTCCATTAGCTGTATAATCATTTGAGCCTACTCCACAAGTATGACAATACGTCTGACCATAACCCACTACGTTCCCGCTATCCCATAACCTCAGTAGTTCATCAAATTCCCCTTTTAGTGCATTTATGTGGGCCCTTATGTCAGCATAGTTTGCAGAATTATCAGACGGCCCTTCCTTATTTGGCGCCCCAGTTTCACCCGCGTGGATCGCTCCTCTCATTTATCGCTTTATCCTTCTGCATCCGTACCCATTGATCAGCATTATGAGAGGCCTGAATGTTTGCCGTAACTCTAGCATAAGTCATTCCTTGCCGGCTTTGCTCTTCCACTACCCGATGCTTGGCCTTATCTTCGACAACAAATGATTCTATAACTGCTTGAAACACGCGCGAGATCGTTGCCCATCCCTCTCCATTACGCCCTTCAGGCACCATCACTACACCCTTTCGATGTGGCTCCCCATGCTGCGCTATTATGAGATACCTACCACGACTGTTAGTACATCGTTGAACCAAAAACGCTCGGGGGGTCTCATTAAATTTCGCAACAAAGTCCTCCGGCATTCTAGCCATCCTTAACTTATCCATCATATTCACCACCCAAACAACTCCAAATCTTCCCATGTGAATAGCATTGGAGATCTTAGATCCCCATTCTGACATCTTAACCATGCCTGAATCAGTGACAAACACAACAAACAGTTTTGCCTCAATTCTGAAAATGGAGCTAAACACCAACATGCCATTAGGAATACCGTCTCCCTAGATTCCGTGCAATCGAAGCATCATACGAAGCAATAGGATAGATAGGAGTCCTCGGCGAAGTCTGCATATTCTGGGCCTTCACGTCGGTGAGTGCGTGCCCAGATCAGCGCGTCCCACGCGCGCAGGCCCTGGCGGCGTCGGAATGGCGCGCCCACCCGGCCGATCAAGCGCGTGTGGCTAGAAAGTGGTCGGAGCAGGAGCGGATGCGTGGGTGGCTCTAGGGTTACTGGATACTGCCTGTAGATACGATTGGCCGGAAGTTTGTGGCATGAGGCCAGTTGGTTTGGGGGTTCCGGACGAGGCAGATGGACCACCGCCAGAGAGCGATGGAGGTGGCCTGCTGGATTTGGATTTTGGGAGGTAGGGATCCATCGACTGATGGAGGAGAGAGAAGAGCCCCATATCCTTAGATTTTAGGGAAACAAAAATGAAAAAAAATCTTCATCTTCTAGACACCCACACCCAAGTCCAAGCAACATGGGTAGAATCAAACATGAAAGTATTTTACTTGATAATGAGCATCCATCTATCTGTACAATCGTCAATATGTGGCCCCTAACAGCATTGCATGGAATTTAGCTTTTTCCATTTTATATTTGACAAATTAGCTATTATTAAAGGAACCATGCTACATGTACTACATACTTGACATAATGTTTTACATAATGCCACACGGCATTTTATCATTTTACAATTTAAAACACAATCATCTCTTCCATTCAATCACCTCCCATCACATATCTTTCTGAAACTGCTTTTGGACGCTTTCTTCTGGCAAAGTGGCTTTTCCCTTATTAAAGACAAACTGAGAAGGGGTAACGAAAATATCACTTCTTCCTAAGGTAAAAGGTAAAAATGATAATTGTATTCATAGAGAGAACATTTCATTATCTATAAGAAGGTGTGTATTTGGCTCGTCATGTTACCTCTAGACAAAAGTTTTTACTTACGGTTGGTTTTTGGACAGCACTAAAAAATTTCATGCTTTAAGAGTCAGACTGTTGGTCCTTCGGAAGAAGATTTTATGCCAAATTCACACGTGTTAACAGATGAATGGTTAATTTTGAAAGTAAATCGTTAAAGGGAGGGAGCGAGAGCGAGAGAGAGCACAAATGAAGATGATTATTTTTAATGCTTTATGATATTTTATACGGCACTGTGAATGTTCATGGCTCACTTCCAGAAAATCTGATTAAGCAAATGCAAAAGGGGTTTCTCTAGTAAGTAGTAACGTTTAATTTTGACCAGAAAACTCATGTTATGGAAGAACCACCAAAATCTGTTGGAAGTATAAAAATCAAATAGCTATCTGTAAAATTTAGAAGAAGAAAAAAAAGAGTACTAGGACTTTTTACCTCAATCATCAATATCGCACTATCTGTGCCTGCTACCAACAAATCTAGTTTTGAGTCTTCTATTTCCTCGGTTGTTGGATTCACAATAAATCTATCACCTATAAGACCAATTCGGACTCCCGCAATAGCTTTAGAATTTGGCACTTCGGAGAGAGCTCTGTTGTATTTAAATTTTTTGAAACGAAATGTAAGCGCCTTTACAGGAACAAATTGAATAATGTCATGTAGTTAATCAGTCCAGGGACAAAAAAACAAAGTGTAATAAACTTACACTGCAATTCCGGCTGCTGTAACTGCCAAAGAATCTGGAGGATGTAAACCATCATAACTTAGTACCTGCAAGCACATGTGAATAATGGAATCCAAAACAAGCGATTATACAATGGTTAGAGAAACTTACGAACACTAAGGAGGTAATGCTCGGAAAATGTATGAAACAAAAAGATAGATAACATAAAAACATACCCAAGACAGTATCTGTATTTCATGATGGAAGCCCTTAATCATGGTCGGTCGCAGAGGTCTATCTATCAGTCTACAAATAAGAACCTGCAAGCAGCAACTACTTATTCAAATGGGAATTCATGAGAGGTGGGAAAAAGAGAGGTAAAACTGACATAATGACCTGGATACAGATAACCAGTGTCCTTTACTTTAATGCCCAAAATAAATTGTGCAAGTATTGTACAAACTTGGAAAAAAAGACCATCACGCACGACTATCATGAAATAATTAATGTAGAATTTGAATATCAGTGAATGGATAACATTCTCTCCATTACTTCCATAAATAAGGAGTGACAGTAGTTTGTCACGTGAAATAACAAATGATGAATCAAAGTTTACAATTGACCATGAAAATCTTCTGCAGTCACACAGTAAAAACTCAAACAGCGTAAGTACCTCGTGATCCTTTGTCCGCCCTTCTCGTTTGAAAAATCCTCCACTAAGAATTAGAAGGATAATAAACAATAATTCCCTCCTCAAGATACTAGTAAACCAATGAGAAAAGATTAAGAGGTGCATGACTTACCTTGTTCGACCAGCTGCTGAAAATCGCTCTTGATAATGTACTGAAAGAGGAAAAAAGTCGGAAGGCTCGCTTGGAACATCAGATAAACAAACAGTTGTGTATATGATCTACAAATAAATGGCAAAACAAATTCATTTAAAGTATGCACATATATATCCACTTCCACCTATATCTTTCTAGAACTGAAGTCAGACAAGGTTCACATGACATGACATAACATAAAAGCACATATCATCGAAGATGTAACTAAAATTGAACTTAAAGGAAAAACTTACAGTTTCTCCATCTGTAACTGTAACAGCACCACTAGCTTGTCTTCCCATGTGACCTGTCTCAACTAATATCTGCAAAAATGCAATAACAAATATGCTTAGCTGAAGACCCAGTAATACTGATACATGTATGAGATCTTGATGTCAAAGAATAAATACGAAAAACAAGAAAGGGGTAAAACCAAAGAGGGTTGTGTGAATGGACCATATGCTCTTGTGACTGTAATAAGATCCAGATGAATTTGCTGATGGATTATAAAATTAATGATTACAAGCCCTGCCACTAGAAACTGAAGATTCCTAGTAGTATTAGGGCCCTGTTTGACCCACATTCTTTAAAAAAAAAAAATATATATATATATATATATATATATATATTCTTCAACAGTGATTTGACATCATTTCAACCACACATACTTCAATAAAAATAATATTATACACAAGTCCAAAATTTTTCCTTATTTTTTAACCACACATTTTCCATCAATACACTATTCAAAAGTGTATTCTTATGAAAATAATGTAGCTCAAACAAGAGCAAGATCTTGCCATGTTCATAATATCATTTCTGGCTGTCACATAATATAGCCAACATTTGTCATTGAGTATTCTCTTACTCTGTTGTAGATTTTATAAAAATCGTCTTTGTGAGAATCCTTCTTACATCATACTATTTGCAATATATTTGTGATCAGCTCACTGTGATGTTGAAAGAAGGTGCTTTACTTGTTACTACCTTTTAGGTATCAAAGTTCATACAACAATTGATAACCAGAGTGTGGAAAGAAGAAATTTTTTTCCTTATACAATCATGATTCATGATTACTGGATAAGCTAAGTAAGGAGATGAAATAGGAGCCCCCAGCAAAGCAATTTAAATGAGTGCATACATAATGGAGGAGCCATCGAAACGAAATTTCTATACCACCTAAAATAAAGCCATAAGTTACATCCGCAGAAGCTTCAAATACAACCATCTCAAATAAACAAGCAAAATAAGAGGCACGTTCAGAAAAATATAAATTCGAGTTTCATTTCCCCCCTCCATCCTTAACTGTTCTATAATACAATTTCAGTTTCACAATGGAAAATGACAATATAGCAATCAGCAATTAGTTTGCGCATTAAGCATGGTAGAACATTGTAAGTTATACAGTTATACTCCAGACACAAACTTGGCATCTGAAATACATTGTTCAACACTAGCACATAGTACGCTATTACATGAGCCCAAAAGATTGTACCTTTCTTCTTAACCGGAAAAACCTTATAACAAAATCAATACCCACCTGCCAGAAATTCACTGGCACATGGTACACTGAGCTCAAAGATTGTACCTTTAAAACCCGGAAACCTTATAACATAACGAAATTATTTAACTAGCTCCATTGTCCTCCCCTATCTCCCCGCCCCCAACCTACTAAAAAGAATACACAGAAATATTAATAAAATAAAAATAAGTACTTACATGGCGGTCGCCCACGGGGATTTTAATCGAGTATGGAGCTGAGGGTTGGGGCAGAGTCTCCTCAGTATCACTATCAGGCTGCGTTGTCAATGAAGCCCCAACGGCAGGTCGATTCAGGAAGCTTTTCCCACTTTCTTTTCTCTTTTTTCTTGCTCTAGAAGTTATTATTACTCTAGAATTCGGCACAAGAAGAGCTGATAAATTGGTTTTTCTCATGGAGGAGAAATTGCTTAGAGGCGAAAAATGAGAAACTATATTGAAATTGCTGGAATTTTGAGTTTTGAATCGAAATGGGCGGGTGTCGAAGCAGCCATTTGGGCTTGCAGTTGCGGCTAAGATTCTTGCCATGGCTTTGCCTCTCTTCACTGTGTAGTGAGAGTGTAGAGAGAGGCACTTATCCACTCTCTCTCAATTGAGGCGCGAGACGGGTGCAAACAAGGGCAAAATCTGAAATGAGAAACGGATTCGGGTGGTCGACCCGGCATGGGTTGAGGGCCCAACTACATACACGTTTGGGTAAAAAATTGTAGGGAAAATTTTACTTATGGCACATTTCAAATTTTAAAAATCAGATTTTTATTAAAAATTATTTATAATTTAATTATTTATTTATTTTAGTAATTAAATATATTTAAGTCACAGATTTATATAATTTGATCACAAATTAACGATTTAATTTGTCACTTATTATTTTTTGGTCACAAATCCGAAATTTTATGTCACAAATTATTTTGCGATCACAATTCAAAAATTTTATAGGTCACAGTTTGTTCATCGATCACAAATTGAAAAATTTATAAGTCACGATTTATTTATTGATCACAAATCACAAATATTACAAGTCACAACTTATTATACAGTCACAATTGATCAAAATTGGTCACAAATTAACAATTTTTTAGGTCACACTTTATTTTTCGGTCACAATTTATCTTTTTCATCGGTTACAGATTAACCAATTTAATGGTCACAATCAACCAAATATTTGCGACCGCCGCCATCACTTACAATTCACAGTCACCATTTTCAGGTCACGTATCTAATTGTGAGTCACAAATCAACCAAACCGCACACGACCACCACAACCAACTGTGACTCCCAAATTGTGAGTTACAATCACAATTTTCAAATCACGGGTCCAATTATTTGTCACAAAATCAACACGACCACAGCAATCCGTCACAACCACCGCCGTCACCACAAAATCGTGCAGATCACCAACATCAACTCATCGTCGTCACACACACGCTGCCGCCACCGCATGCACAAAAAAATTCAGATTAACAACTGTATATATATATCTGAACTCCACCACCGCACCATCATCGTCACAGCAAAATTCGTGCAACGATGATCACCACTCGACACTGCCACCATCACCTGCATCACCATCAACAGCTGCAAACACCATCACCAAACCTACCACACAGTACACCACCACACTGTATCATCTAAGGTCCACCACCGCCTAATCACCATCCCAAACCTTTGCAAAAACCCAAAATCATATTCGTCCTAGATCGCGCCCCCACCAAAATTTTCCCAAATCGAGTAGCAGCACTCATTCCGCCTACCATGAAGTCATCGCCCCTATGCCCTCCACACAGTGCAACGATGCTCAAGCTATTGTAATGACATCATCGCCACAGCCTGCCTCGCCATTATGGTGGTCTCCAGCTTTTGCTTCCGACTATTGTGAGAGAGAGGAGAAAATGAAATTGATTAGGGTTTGGGGAATGGTTAGATGAAATTCGTGTTATTATATTTAATATTTAATTGAATATTATTAATATTAAAAATTTGAATCAATATCTTATTTTTGTACAACACAAACTTTGGGTATGATTTTTGAAGTTGGATCTTTAAAAGTATGGATGGGTGTAATTTCCACAAAATTGTACTATATTTTAACGAATACCCGAACCAATGTTTTAAAAATCAGTTAGACTCGATATTGTCAGTTCTATAGGAAAAAATTGGATTGACCTCAGATTTGGACTAGCTAGACAAGAAAAACTTGTCATTGAAAACCCATAAAAAAAAATCGATAATCTGATTGACTTTCAATATTCACTTAATTATAAAGGATTTGACCAACTTTATAGAGTCAAGTTTTCTTTAAAAAAAAAAAAAAAAAAAACTCTATGCCTACTAAACTTCAATTTTTTATTTTTTAAATATTCTAGAAATGAAAGTTTATTAGTCATACCTTAAAAATATTTTATTACTCAAATAATCTTTTTCATTTTTAACAATTTTATTATAAAAATAAATAATAGAATTGAAAACATGAAGAACTGGAGGCGGAGGACCCGTCCATTTCATCAAAAACTAGGAAGAAGCATCCATGCCACGCTCAAAATCATCGAAAGAAAATCCTCTGTTCCAGTGATTAAACAGCAGCTTTCTCTCATTCTGAAATCAAATTCAATTCATTCTTTTTTTTTTCTCCTTCAAAAGAATTAGAAAAGCCGGAAAAGAAAAAAAAATGAAATTTGCTCTGAAAATTTCACCTTCCTCAAATACTTCATTACCCAAAGTGTTCCCATGTAATTGTAATTCCCATAAAGTTTCGTGGATTTTCCCCGAACACATTTACAGAAATCCCTCAAATGTCACGGGTTCTCGCCCATTTTCTTCGCCACGGGTCAGTAATAAACCTTGCATTTTGGTTCCTGCTTATTATCCTTGTTCTTGTTAATTTTAATGGGTTTAGGGTTTGGATTTGTTCAAATAGACATGTAAATTTTGGGTTGGATTATTTTTTCTTTAAATTAGTGCTAAAATTCGTTTTAAGGTTGTTGAATAGAATGAAACAGGTTGAGCTAGTGATTAGTATATCAATGTACAAAGGAAAATGAGAACAAATTATATAAGATTAACTAGTATAGGTTGCTCTGAAAAATCCTCAATCTTGTAGATTATGTTCTCTTCGTTCAAGAAGAGCTCTAGAAGACCTTGATACTAAAAATGAGAAGATTGGTTACATAGAAATACGAAAATAATCAAATTTTTATCAAAAATTGAGTCAATTGGTGCTAGAGACGTCTTTATTTCTCTGTTCAAGATGAGCTAATGAGGGCCCCCTTAAACATTTAGGAAAAATACCGTGAAATATACCATAAAATAATGTGTACGGGGTTTTTCTTGATATTGACACGCTGTTCATGTTAAATTACTAGTTTCCAATTTAATATATGGGATTATGATTATTATGTATAGTAATAGAGTCATGATTGAGTTGCGAAACTCCTGCTAAAAAAAGATAAATTCTGCCACTACCTCTAGAACACGCTATAGATTTCATAATAACTATGTTTTTTTTTTTTTTTGAAGTAGATGCATTTGACTATAGGTCCGAGTTTATGAAATTGTTCGCTGATAAATGGAAATTAAGCACGCAAGGCTGAGTAGCAAAAATTGTTCCCTTGCTATGTTGGGGAACACTTATATAAGATCTTTTTTGAAGTTGTCGAGTTGACTAAAGTCTTTGCGAGTTACTAAGAATTAGCAAACTAGAATTGCAGATTTTGATGGTATGCAAACACAGCTGTGTATATTTGTTTGCATACTTTTTGGTGTTAATATAAAGTTGTATACTCTGGCGCTTTACACTAGTGAGCTGACCTAGATGCAAAAGCTCTGATGGCTACTAATATCTAACAGGGATGAAAATGCGGGGATAATATTTCTATATGTTAAAATCCTTAAGCTTACTAGGATATCTGAGTTTGGTTAATTGTCTAGGTACCTTATGTTGCAATATGCAGAAATGAAAATTTACAAAAAAATTAAAAAATAAATAAATTTAGATTTGACGAACTATTGATATAATACATGCGATTTCCTTCTCTACTTGCACAGACTGTTTCCCTTTTTTCTCGTATTCTAAATGTTGGAACAAATTCAAATTGCTAAGAGGATATATTATGATGTTGCAGGCTATGCCAAGTTCTGTTGGGGATGTTCATAGACGAAGCAGCCTTGAATCACGTTTTTGTTACGATAAGCCTATTCCAGAGGAGATAATTGAAAAGCCTAGTGGATTGTCATTGGCTCTGAAAAATGTTGGAGATAACCCACATTGCCCAAGTTGTCAAGCAAAAGGAGCTGTTCTTTGTACCACTTGCTCTGGTTCAGGCTTATATGTAGAATCTATATTGGAGAGTCAGGGAATCATTGTCAAAGTACGGTGTCTCGGTAATATTCTAACCTGATTTTAGGGTTTTCTTTTTGGGCTATTAAATTTTTCTAGATTCTCCCTATACTGATACACAGGATATGAGTATAGACATCTCCATTCTTGTTTGAATCTTGGTTTCTGCTGAGCATTCTATTCATTATTCTTATAAGGCGCTCATAGGAACAAAAATTGTTCCATTCATATATGTTTGACGATTTTGGTGTACTAAGGTCATGTTTGGTACATAGTTCTCAACAAGGATATAGTGATCATTCTAATATATCGATGGAAGATTCAATATTCCCGATGCAAAAAGAACATAAAAACACAATTAGGTCTCAAGATTGACTAGCAGTCGAGTCCACAATTTTAAGACCTGTTGTTTGTTCAAGGTGAAATGAACAAATAGAGACGAATATATTCTTTCAAGATCAGTTCAATTATTCTAGTTAGCCAGTCTTTTAACCTAATCGATCTTTGAAGTAAGTTTTATATGAATTTTTAAGATTACAGAATGTTTTTCAGGTAGGTCTATTGGTGGTAGCAACGAGTGAACCACGAGAGAGAAACTAATGAAGGGGAGAGAGAGTAGAGTGAGAAAAAAATTGAGGGGAGATAGGATTTAATCCTAAATTTTAAAATGATGATGGATTACCGACATGTTATTAAAATAATATTGATTTTGTATTCCAATTTATTGATGGATTACCAACACATTACAAAACAACATGGAAAAGATTCTCTTCTGCGTTTGCTTCTTATCCTTGTTTTTATAGAAGACAGTAGCAACAAAAACCGAACACAGAAGACGTATATCTGGTGTGTTGTCAAAATTTTTAGAAGCAAAAATACTAAAAGATGGGCTACTGAATGGCCCCTTAGTAATCACCCAATATTTTTCACTTGATGTTGAAGTTCAACCATAAGAAGTTCGGCTGCCAATTCTATACTGGAAACCCATTAGTGTTGGTACTTTTGAGGTTTCTTTGGTATCCTTCTAAATCTTTTTTAACCTTCATTATGCTTTCCTTTTGGAGATTGTTGCAGCATTCCTGCTTACAGTTCTATTATCCAGTTTTATTAATTGATTTCATCATTTCATTTATCCAAAATAAAATCGATATCGACTTTCATAAAAGGATTTTAATGTGGTGCCAAGAATCTTGGCGTCTCATGTTTTACCATGCAGGTTGTGGGGGAACTGGGAATACAATGTGTTCGGGATGTGGGGGTCGAGGTCATCTTGGTCTTGCTTGATAGAAAGGTTTGCTTCCCTTCTGAAGATTGTAATGCTGCTTACACATTCTGGTATACGGTTCCGGTTTTATTAATTTATTTTACTTATATCCAAAATAAGCATTTCATAAAAGATTGTAATGGGTGCCAAGAATCTTGACGCCTCGTGTTTTATCATGCAGGTTGTGGGTAACTGGGAATACTTCGTGTTCGGGATGTGGGTCGAGGTCACATTGGTCTTGTTTGATAGAACGGTTTGCTTTTCATTTAATTAATAGCTTTTTTCTGGGAAGACAACATCTAGAGTGAAAAAATGCACTTCAAATTACATTTGTTCTAGTTATACTGGTTTACTCTTGTAATTTTTGTTGTGTCGTGTAATCGAATTGAAGCAGAACTTGCTATAAAGTGCCTGATTAATATTGTTTTATTGTATAATTTTTTCTTGAAATATGCTTCCTGTTTGGCACGCTTTATAGCTAGTTCATTGATAGTAAATTCAATTATTTTGCTCTCTTAATTGGTTGATCGACCAAACAGAAATCTATACGAGTATGTTTCTGTATTAAATTTAAGAGCAAAGTAAATACAATACTACACTCTTAAACATGACATAAACTTCTCATTCCTTAGTCGAAAAGATACGTGGACATGAAAGAAAAAGAGTGATTAAATAGAACATAATTGATTAGATGATAAAATCCTGAAAATGCTTTCGCAGTCTTGATTGGTAATGCGAGTGGTTTGATAGTTTGCTAGTGTATATAAAGGAAAAGATGATTTTTTATTTTTATTTTTTTTATTATTGTACTCATGTTGTTTATGTATTTACCTTGCTTGTTAAATTTGTAGTAGGCTAAGTACTCACTTTTTTTATTGCATACTATAAAAGAAATGATAATTCTTGCCCTACAATCAACAAATCAACAAATGAACAACGCATAGTTGAAGTCGTTAAAAAATGTTTTTGTGACAAGTTTGGTAAAATAAGTTGTACAATATTGAGTAGTATTATAAAGGAAATATGCAATTAGTATGTACGAGCACACATGATTAAAAAGGAGAAATATGTAAACCTTTTTGTATGTTATCATGTTTAGTTTAGCGTACTAAATTATGTCAAAAAAAGAAAAATTTTAAAAAAAATCCCAAGTTCTTGTTTAGACAAAGAAGAGAAATAAAGCTATGATGTGATTTTTCATGCCAAACATGAATTGTATGCGATAACGAAGAAGTCTTTCGACAATAAAAGTAGTGTCAAGTATAATAAATTTTACCATGCAGATCTTTATTACGTCTAGTTTAATATATTAAATATATAACATAAAATCCTTGCTTAGATAGCCAATAAAAAGAAATAAAGCATAAGTAGGCTCCTTTCGTTGAACTATGAGAAGGCCAGCCTCCATCTCCAAACCCTCTTATAACGGTCACATATTCAAATATCCATGCTTGAGTATCACAACCTTCTTTAAGACATGGGCCCATGCTCTTCAAATTGTCACATTTGCTAAGAATAAGGTTAAAAATTTAATACTCCTATTAACTGTTTGGTCTCCCTACTTGACTTTAATGCTTACTGTTCATTTGAATCCAAAGATAGATATTATTAATTCAGTATGCCACTTTTAATTGCACACTGGAAAGTGCGTTAAATTCTATATTCAAAATTCTCAACAATTTGTCATACCCAAAAGTAAATATGAGAATAAAACTAGTTTAGAGAATTTGATTGGACAGTGGTGGCTGCCTTCAGAAAAAGTTCATGGGGACAGAGGGCATGTCACCACGGAATCTTGGGTGGCGAAGGTAGTATAACCCTAACACTAAAACAAATACTTTGAAAGGTATGGCATAGAACAATAAGGAAGCAAATAGGCAAAACACAATGAATATGCCTGTAGTTCTAGGGTCTCTCCAACTGAAAAGTACCTCCAACCGTTAAACTTGTGCTGCAACATCACCCAAGAGTGTTTGGGCATGTCCTGCTAGAGCACGCAATCAATCATAGCGGATGTGCACTTGTTCCGTTGTTCGTATAGTTGGAAATCCGTCAAATTCTTCATCAAGCTCATAAGGACTCACAAAATCAATATGGGACAACATAGGGGTCTACTGTGATCTGAACACGTTGACAGTACCGAAAATCTCAACGCTATGATGAGGAAGGCATACATGAAAATTGTTGGCAACACCAGATGTGGGCACAATACAATTGCTAACCAACGAGATATGAACCAAGATTGTAGTTGGAGGGTGCGCCCATGTTTGAATTCCATTGAGCCAACGGGAACTGTAGCTGCTTTTGACAGGCACCCACAACCCAAAACCAATTGGCCTTTGTCTCATGTTCCACATGTGCATATTCGAGTCCAACATGAATTGTACTAATTCTTGGCCTAAAGCAGGTTCGGACCGAGCTAACTTAGCCGTCACAATCGTCATAGCAGTGTGCCTAAGGATGTCTTGTCGGGCTACACCAAAGGGTCTCACATAATGCATCCTAGGCAACATTGGATTGGCATATGCTTGAATAAGACTAATCCACGATGAGCATGAAAAACCTCAAAGCAATCTCAATTTTTCCCATTTTCTTTGTGCCCGTTTGGCATGGTTTTTGAAAAGCCAAAAGGAGCTTTTGAGCTTTAAAAGTTGCTTTTGCACCCGTTTGGCTAATTTTGTTAAAGTGCTTTTGATGGTTAGAGAAGCTTTTAGAGGAAGTTAGTTCAATGTGACTTCCTCTAAATGCACTTCTGGAATAGAAAATATTTTTAAATATTATTTTTCAAACAAAAATTAAAATAGCTTCCTCCAAAAGTTCTTCTACAAGAAGAAAAAGTAAAAACAAAAACTATGCCAAACAGACCCTTTGCCCTAGTCGAAAGCAACACCAAAAGAGAATAATGCCAATTCACACTCAATTACTGTCAAGAGTCGAGAGGTGTACACGTAACTTTCCAAGCCTTACATCATTCTTCAACCCTGCCTTATCGTGCGCGTACCTTCCATTGTCAAACATGCCTATGGTCAACACAGTGCATGGATCATACACATCCCAAGTATACTGTTCATTCCATCATGGATTAAATTGATCGAGAATCGTACGAATGCGAACCTACTTTGGCCCATATTTAGCCACGACATATGCATCAGTCGTCCCATGGGTACTGTAACACCCCAAAATTAAGTACCTAATTTTGGAGATATTATCATTTAACATTCTCTTGACATCATAAATGTGAAAGCAATTAAATTTTTCTTCAACACAATAACCATCAATGACTTCATTTATAGAAAAAATATATTTGTACTTAATAAAATATAAGACGATTAAATTAAAACTTAAGTTTATTTCAATGCGAAATCAAATCTAAACGAAATTGATATTGAGTTCGTAATGCCACGAGCCGTTATCTAGAATCATCCTGCCTTGATCATCTGAAAATAGGGAGGGATAACGTGGGATGAGCTAATGCTCAATAAGCAAACCCTATGCACATGATGCATGCTGATGATATGCATGTGCATTGCTTTAAAATGAAAGGCATTTCTCAACATGTATCCCCATTCTTTCATTTCTTCAAAAACATTAATGTCGTGAGCTCGCTTGATGCATTGCCTATAGTCAATCAGAATGCAGTGGGCCATGAGTTGGAACTTGATCGAATTCTACCAATTGTACCGCAAAACGGTTAACATTAACATTGACATTGAACATTGGTTGGGTGTGCCGGTCCCCCACACCCCATTTACCACTCATACCTTCATAGCATAGACATACATCTCATAACAAAAACATTTTGGATACATATCTTTAAACATTAATTAAGTTATGACATTTGGAAATATTTTATTCGTTGAAACTTCATGTATGCATTGACGTGCATGAGTATGCATGAAACATTCATGACATAAAACTTAATAATTAAACATCATGTTCACATAATAGCAAATTTATGTAACACATTTGTACATTGAATAATATCACGCGTCATGAAAACAATGGGAGGTTTACTTACTTGGAATGCTTTACAATTTACTTCTAATTAGATACCAAGTGGAGATGTTGTTAGTCGCCAACGAGATCATTGCGCCGAAATCCTAAGTCATTACAACTTAACATGCTCAACTCTTTATTTATTAATATTTATTTTGAATAGCTCGAAAGAACGTCAACATATATAAATTTAAAGGTGTACAAGAGGAATAATACAAAACAATTACATTAAACAACCTTAAATGTGGATGCACGATTTCCATTTTCACCTTCTGGGGACACAAATCATTAATGTAAAACTTCTATTGATGCAATAAACAACACTAATTAGTCCTAAGAGTTAAAGTAAACTCGGTACTATATCAGACCTCAATTCCCATAGAATTAAGGTTGAACCAGAAACAATTTTGCTCAAGAAAGTCAAGGAGACAGATTTATTAACTAATGATTACATTTTATTAGCATATAACAAATGAAAATTACTAATTTATAAGAATCAAATTCTACTCCATTTAATTCACTAATTAAAGGTGGATTTAGTGATACAACTGCAAGTTATAAATTAACAACTATGAAATAATTATTCATTTAAAGGGTAAATTAATAACTAATAATCACACGTAGGCAAAAGAGCCGACTAATTTAATTTTAAATCAATTTACTGTTATAAAGGGGAAATAGATTATTACCATAATGTTTAGATTCCAATTTCCAAGTCTAATTATAAAGATAATAAGAATAATACATAATATATTATAAATGTAATGAAATTACATTTATCTTCAATTTAGAATTACTAGTCACATTGATCATTTAGGACATTCAAATTACATTTAGGACAGTCACAATAAATAAGAGCGCGGCGTTACAGGTACCGTCTTTCATCTTTACACTGTTTACAGGAAGCAGATTAGTATCCTCTCTAATGCCCACTTCAAGCAAACCCATAGCTGGCTTGGACGATTGCTTGGCAGTAGCTCTAACATCGCTGGTCACGTTAGCAGCCTCATCAAGCATGTGGTATCCTTCTTCCAAACGCACCCACACGTGTATTCTTCCACCATAAGGTTTATTAGTCTGATCATCACCAATCAAATTAAACCATCTTGATCTCGGGTCTGATTTGTCCTCGGTCCGCTTGTTTATTGTAGCCACCTGCATCTTAGCACACCCAATTGTTTGCCCATTTGTCAAATCTTCCACTGTGATTGTCAAAAACGGCTCAAACGGCTCAGCTGCCACGAATACAAGGTCCTCATTCCACATGGGATTAGAAGAGATGGTAGACGAGCGGATACTCATTCGGCTCGTTCTGAATAGCTGCGCGCCGAGCTGGGTCTTCACATAAAACTCGGGATTTCGAACCTTAGGCTCGTTTGTACCTGAACTTGTGGCAAGCTATAGATCCTGGGCTTGGATGACTGTTAGTCTCAAGCTATAGATCGGGTTTTCGGTATCAGCCCATCGTAATTCGACTGCCAAGCCTCTTGAAAAGCCTTACCAGCCTGTGTTCTGACCCATACAGACAGCATGAGGTCATTTTTCGGCGAACCTAGATTTTGCTCCACCTCTAAATTGTACCACTGCGATGCCAATGGGCTGTCTGTCAGCAAGCTTTTGGGCACTTCTTGTAGATCAAACGACACATTTCCTGACACATCCCGTCCTAAGACTCAAGACGTGACGTGAGCCGTAGGTGCCAGCTAGGCACTGGACCCATCACCAAAGTGAAAGTAACTAAACTTTTATAATAAAGCTTCATTTGACCAATTAAAATCTTTCTAAACTCCAATATACCAACATAATAATATCATTTGCTCGTTTAGCCAAAAACATCCATATCATATTCATCAAAACTGCCTCTCAAAAGGATAATAGAAAGCAATTTAGATTACAATATTACATCATGATCATTGGTGTATATAAATTCTAAAAAAATTCCCTCCAATATGATACAAATATTTCACTTGATGATTACACAATTTCAAACAAAAGAACCTACAATTGGTGGTAGCAATGGTTGCAAAACTATCAAAATAATCTCCACCACAGCTCAGTCAACAACCTCCTATAAGGAAAAGTTCAGGAAAATATGAGATAATAATCCCAGTGAGTGAAGTGCTTAAAAGATTGTTGTACTGTCCTTTATATATATATATATATATATATATATATATATATATACACACACATATATATATATATATATATATATATATATATATATATATATATATATATATATATATATATATATATATATATATATATATATATATATATATATATATATATATATATATATATATATATATATATATATATATATATATATATATATATATATATATATATATATATATATATATATATATATATATATATATATACACACACACACACACACACACACACACACACACACACACACAACCAGATGAGTAAGTACATTAGACAATCTTCTTTCCTTTTCCTTTTTTTTTTCATTCCTTTCTTTTTCTTATCTTCCTTTTCTCCTCTTCTCCACGTTCTCTCTCGTTCAACACACTTTAGTGTGTGTTTGTGTGTGATTTTTGTGGAAAAAAATGGTCAAAGTTTGAATATAAAGGCCACTTGTTCAAAATTGCAAAGGAAGATATATAAGTAAATTTCCAACTTTAAATTGTAGCCAATTTAACCCTCATATATGGCCAATTATAAAATAAACCCCAATAAAATGTTTAATTTTATTTTAGTCCTTAATTGACTTTGACCTTGACTAGTCAAAATTTGAATTTTTTACTATGAAAATTGAGTTGTAACAATGTTACCTCCTTAAAAAAATTTCGTCCTCGAAATTCAACTAGCAACTGACTAGGCAATGAATAAATAAGGATATTGAGCACGCATCTGATCCTCGTTCTTCCATGTAGCCTCTTCTACTGTCCGATTCTGCCAAAGTACCTTAACAATTGAATCTGTCTTGTTTCACTGAATCTGCACTTTCTTGTCTAAAATTATCGCTAGCTCTTCTATATAAGTCAAATTTTCCTTCAACTCAATTGGCTAAGATTCCAGAACATGAGAGGGATCTGCAACGTACTTGCGAAGCATGGAAACATGAAAAACATCATGGATCCGAGATAATTCATCTGGCAAATCTAATCGACATGCAAATGGGCCAATCCGCTCAATAATCTCATAGGGTCCAATATATCGTGGACTCAACTTTACTCGCTTGCCAAATCTCAACACCCCTTTCCAAAAAAACAATTTAAGAAAAACCTTATCTTATACTGCAAATTCAAGATCTTTTTCTGCGCCTATCTGCATAACTTTTCTGTCTATCTTGAGCTGTATTTTACTTTTTCCTGATCATTTTCACATTTTTTGAAGTCATTTGAACCAATTCAGGGCCAACTAACTTCCTCTTACCAGCTTCATCCCAACAAACTGGTGTTCTGTATTTTCTACCATACAAAGCTTCAAAAGAAGCCATTTTTATACTTGAGTAGTAACTGTTATTGTAAGCAAACTCCATCAATGACAAATGAGTATCCCAACTACCTTTGAGCTCTAAAACACAAGCATTCAACATATCCTCAAGAGTCTGTATGGTCCTCTCTAACTAGCCATCTGTCTAAGGATGAAAAGCAGTACTGAAATGTAGTTTACTGCCCATGGCTTCCTGCAAACTGGGCCAAAATTTAGATGTAAAACGAGGGTCTCTATTAGATAAAATAGATAATGGGATACCATATAAACTCACTATCTCATCAACATACAACTTTGCCAACTTATTTGATCGGCAAGAACCTAGCAGTTTTGGTCAAGCGATCTACATTAACCCAAACTCCATCATGACCATTCTGAGTACGAGGAAGACCAAATAAAAAGTCCATAGTAACAAAAAACCATAATCTAAAATCCAAAAGCTGAACTGCAAGCGGGAAAAATGTAAGATGAAGACTAATAATCCACTATATACTTAAAATTCACATCAAAATATATCCCAAGTATACATCTACTAATGATCTGAAAACTATAAATCATATGTACATAAACTGTCTGATCAATATTCTGTACGCAGCCGTAGCCCCTCAGTGTACAAGATGGAAACAACATAATCATCCTTATACACGGCTGTAACCCCTCAGTGTATAATGGATACCTTTACCCACGGTCGTAGCCCCTCAGTGGATAAGAGTTACCTTTACACATGACTGTAGCCCCCTCAATGTATATTAGATACCTTTACCCACGACCGTAGCCCCTCAGTGGATAAGAGTTAAATACATGACTCTAGTACATGGTCGACGGGGCCGGTATGCTGTTCCCACGTTCAAATCCCCTCCTGAAACGATCATAAATATAAGCTACTTCAATTCCATCCATATACAGTTACAAGAGATTTCTCAATAATAACCCTTTCTTATCATCAAAATAAAATATATATCCCTCAATAAGCAATAAGTTGAGACTTATATTTATATTTCATTTGGTTACTTAAACATACGTTCAATTAATTTCGAATCACTCTACATCCCTCATTCGTTAATACTAACATTTCTCGACTGCCCTATAAAGATTCAACAAGCTTTCATGATAATAATCGTCCACATTCTTTATTTAAATTCTCTTTTAACTAAATACATAAATCTTATCAAAAGCTCATTTCTTATATTCTTCATATTCATCCAAAGTGAGAATTCAAGCATAAGATAAGTTATTTTCAACTAATCTAACTTAATAATACCATAAAACAATCACAAGGGAAAATAACAAGAATTCAAATTTTTCCCCAAATTTTCGGATTAAGCCATATATGACAAAACCCTAATATCTAAATATCATTTTTTCCAATCCACTAGAATAACTAGATCCAAATACTCAAATAGTTAGCTTCCTTATCATATTTTTCAAGTATAAGTTATAAATTTAAAACCCTACACAAAAATTTACAAAAACTAAATCATAAATTATTAACCTTACCTCTTGAAGAATTAAATAAACAAGATTGAACAAGATTTCTTCTTTCCTTTTCCTTTTTTTTTTTCATTCCTTTCTTTTTCTTATCTTCCTTTTCTCCTCTTCTCCACGTTCTCTCTCGTTCAACACACTTTAGTGTGTGTTTGTGTGTGATTTTTGTGGAAAAAAATGGTCAAAGTTTGAATATAAAGGCCACTTGTTCAAAATTGCTAAGGAAGGTCCCTATTCTTTAATAGAATATAACTTTTAAATTCTAAACTTCCAAATATATATAAGTAAATTCCCAACTTTAAATTGTAGCCAATTTTACCCTCATATATGGCTAATTATAAAATAAACCTCAATAAAATATTTAATTTCATTTTAATCCTTAATTGACTTTGACTTTGACTTTGACTAGTCAACAGTTGAATTTTGACTAGAAAAATTTGGGTTGTAACAGCTCCAATACAACTCTCTGAAACTCTGTTGTTGTTTTCATTTTCTGGAATCCAAACAGAGACTTCAAGGAGGTTGAATTCAATCATTCCTTATCAAATGCAAAAACTTGGTCCCAATCTTTATTAGCAACTTGTGATTTGGTTTTGATGCTGTGAGTACCTATCACGAGCTTGGCATAAATTGATGAATCTGCCTTTGGATTTGAGATTTTCACTTTGGCTATACGAACATATAGAAACGACATTTGATCCACCAAATCAAAAGCCATTCGCCTATCGGAATTGGAGATTTTACAAAACAATTTTGATTCAATATCAATATTCTTCAAATTTTCGGCAACAATTCACTTTTCTGGTTTATGGATGTTTTCTGTTGAGACAATGGTGGATTTCGTACTTTCGTCGCTGCCGAAGGTAGTGGAGCTATAGTATCTGCTTTAGGAGTCTCTAGTGGTTTTTCTTGTTGGAATAATTCCATATGTGGACTTCATATTTGATTGCAAATTATATGGATTAGGTGTATGGCTCATAATAATACTTGTGATTGGGCCAATTATATTAAGTGATCAATTTGGGTCGTTTCACATCTTACAGGTTTTATTTGATATAATGTGGTATTTTCAAGTATGTGGGCCGAAATTGTGCGTAAACCCTAATTAGGGTTTAAGTCGACAATGAGACGACTAAATAAATTCCTATATAAAGGACAGGTCGCCTCTTCTCTCCGCATTGTATTTTCATTAGTTTGCCCCATTGAGACCTGATATTTTGTGAGAAGCAAGGAGGAAAAGATCTTGATCGTTATTATAACTATTATTTATATCAACAATGACTTCCGCAATTATGAATTCGTTTTATTAATTTATTGAATTGTGATTATCAATTCTTAACATGATTAAAACTAAATATTAATAATTAGTATCAGAGCCTTCATGTTAAATTCGAAATCCTTAATGAAATTCTTTTTTCTATATCCGTGATCAACTCTTCTACACTACCAGAAAGATGAATCACAGAATTAATATAGACAAGGTTGGGAGATTTTTTTGGCCTTTTTTTTTTTTATCAAAGTATGGGCCCCACACACATGAGTCTCTTCTGTTAAAATTTTGTGAGAATATTTATGTACAAATAGAATAATACTATCCGTGATTTGTGCATATGTGCATGTTTTGAATGCTTTAACCGAATCCCAAAGCTAGAATCTGTAAGCCCACCCCTTTAATCTCCTACCCATGGCTACAATCGCACCACCACATCATCGCCAGCGTCGGTGGTATATATGGCCACTTCCACACACAAGTAATATAAACGTATGCACATCATCTTCCACTTTCTATTGGAGGAGTTTGTTTTTGTATCAATTTTAATTTGTGAATTGATTGAAATTGTGATTAATGTTATTGGAGGAGAAAAGGGTGGATGAGAATTGGACAATAGCACTCGCCGTTCGTCGCGTGGTGGCAGCACTTTTTTCGCTGTTTTTGTGAGTCGCACGATGGGTGTGTCTCGTCATGCGGCTTCTTCTTTTTTTCGGGCGACAGTAAAGCTGCTGTTGAAGGTTGGTAGTTGGAACAATAAAAAAAACAAAAAAAATGGTGGATTTTATGGTTTTAAATTTCATTCGGCGGCGGCAAATGAGAGAAGAATGGTGGTTTTACTTTTGGGATTTAATCTCTTATTTTAGTTGTGTGAAATATATCTGGGGATGGGACTTGCCTTGCAATTTGTGAGATGGGACAAATTGGGGTCACATTGTAATTTCAAAGTAAGGACCTGACTTTAATTTTTGATCCTAGGTTCAAATTTGAATTCTAAAAGGATTTTAGAATTATATTTTTGATGGGTTTGATCTATTTTTTAGTTTTGACCAAATTAAATGTTTATTGACCCGATTAAAATATATCAAATAATAATAATAATTTGATTGACGACTTTTATATTTTTCATTAAATTGTATATGTATTTAATTATTGCCATTGTTTATGCATTTAAATTTTATTTTTAAAATTTTGTTGTCAATTTCGTCTCTTAATCACATATGAATGTTTTGTCTTTCATCAATTAATGATTATAATTTGTTGCGTAATTATTGTTTTGTGATTGAATTTTTATGGAATTTGAGACGATCATTATTTTTCCCACAAAGAGAAATATTTTGAAATAAAAATGGGTGGTAGCTGCCAAAATGGCACATTCATTATTACTATTCGGTTTTCTCTCTCTCTCTCTCTCTCTCTCTCTCTCTCTCTCTATATATATATATATATATATATATATATATATATAGATGCAACAATTTCTAGACCAAAATAAGTCGTTAACTGCCTCATGCCATTTTTCAAAACATCACATATAATAACACATTTGGGCAAGATATTATATGCAATAAATCAAAATTGTTGCATCTAACATTTGGAATATATACATATATACGTATATACGTATATATACGTATATACGTATATATATATATATATATATATATATAGTGTGTGTGTGTGTGTGTGATGTTTTGGAAAATGGCATGAGGCAGTTAACGACTTATTTTGGTCTAGAAATTTCCTTCTGCCCAAAGGTGTTGGTGTTTCGAAAAAAAATGTTATTTTGTTAACTAGCTATATGATGTGTTTTAAGAGTACATTATAGTATGTTGCATTGTCAACCCAAAGGCGATTTTATGATGATGCATCTAGGCTCTTACCGTAATAAAATTCATGTATTTGTTTTAATTAAGAATTATCTAATTAATAACCCATATTAATTAGTTGGATATTTTATCATCCATTTGATTGCATGCATTGTGTTTGGATGATATTGAAAATGATATTTTGTGTTTCCATAGTTTATAATGCCTCGTCTCTTTCGAATCAATTGTCTGCTATTGAAACCTTGACTGAGAATAATTATATGAGATGGAAACAGCACGTAGAAATAACACTTGGTCTTTTGGGCTTGGTTTTTACAATGGAGAAAAAGCTTGAGAAACTCACAGATAAGAGCACAGTTGAATATGTAGCCGAGTATGAAAAGTGGGAAAGGCCCAACAAACTCTTTTTGAAAACCATTAAGTGATCGATATCTAATTCCATTCTAGGTACCATTCCCGATAATGAAAATACCAAAGGTTTTATGGATGCCATAGGAAAGTTGAAACTGAAGATCTAATGGATACGTTGATGAATATGAAATATGGTGGTATAAATGGTGTTAGGGAGCATGTCATGAAAATGATAAATATATCATCTAAGCTAAAGGCTCTTGACATTCCCATTGCGGAGTCTTTCCTGGTCTATCATGTTTTGAATAGACTTTCTAGCCAGTTTAATAAGCTAAAGGTTGTTTACAATGCTCAGCGGGATAGATGGAATTTGAATGACCTCATAGCAGTGTGTGCCCAAGAAGAGTATAAACTGTTGAAACTGTGCAATTAGCTTTTCAGCCATCACAGAATAAGGGGCCTTCTCATAACCATAAACCTAAGTTTTGTAAGGGTAATAAGTCCCACCGAAGTCAGCAGAATAAAAATTTTAGTAGTCCTAAAGGAGTTATAAAGAAAAATGATCAATGCAAGTTCTATAAAAAAGAAGGGTCACTGACAGAAAGACTGTTTTAAGTTTAAGACTTGGTTGGAAAAGAAGAAGAACTCTCCAAGTATTCCCTTGACCTTAGTTTATTTTGAGTCTTCTTTAGTAGATGTGCCTTTAAATTCATGGTGGTTAGATTTAGGAGCTAGTATTCATATTACGAATTCCTTTCAGGGGTTCACAAGCAAACGGAGTCCAAGTAAAAATGAAGTGAGCTTGAGCGTTGCAAATGGAGTTCAAATGAAGGTTGAGTTTATAGGAGCAGTGAAGTTGACTTTAGAGTCTGATTTTTATCTTGTTTTGAAAAATACAGTTTATGTACCGCAAATGAGACGAAATTTAATTTCTATATCGAAACTTGATGCTTGTGATTTTACATTTAATTTGGTAATGAAATGGTTGAGTTATTTAATGATTCTCGTTTGATTGGGAATGACATTTTATGTGATGGATTATATAAATTATCTTTGGCTCCTCTTGGTGATGTCTCATGTATTACCAATGTATCAAAGTAAAAGACTTTAATTTGTGAATTATTCTCTATATTGTGGTATAAGCGTTTGGATCATATTTCTAAGGATGGAATGGAAAGATTAGTAAAATTTGAGATACTTCCTTCCTTAGACTTCTCTGATTTTGACACCCGTGTGGATTGTATAAGAGGAAAGTTAACTAAGTCTACGAGGAAGGGTTCGACTAGGAGTAATAAAATTTTGGACTTAATACACACTAATATCAGTGGGCCTTTGCCTTCCATTATATGTGGGAATAAATATTTCATAACTATCATTGATGATTTCTCACGATATGGATATATTTACTCGATTAACGATAAATTACACGCACTTAAGAAATTCAAAATTTTCAAACTAGAAGTAGAGAAATAGTGTGGGAAAAGTATCAAAGTTGTAAGGTCTGATTGTGGTGGTGAGTACTATGGGAAATATGACGAGTCTGATCAAAATATGAGTGATTTTGCAAAGTTTTTACAAGAGTGTAGAATAGTGCACCAATACA